CCGCGGGCGCCGGGGGGCGGGGAGATGCGGAGCCGGTGCCTGTGCCAGATCTGCACCTGCGGGTGAGCCGGCCGCGGGCGCCGGGGGGCGGCGGCTGGGTTTCTGCGCGTTTCTGCGGGGCAGGCGCCAGGTCCCGGGGCACAGTCACCCGCCACCCGGCGGGCAGGTGACACGTCAGAGGTGTGGCCCCACGGAGGCGGGTAAAGGGGTGCGATCAGATCCAGCCGCTGGGAGACTGGATGTCCCCCAAAGATTTTTATTTTTATTTTTTTAATATTTTTTTTATTGATTTCAGAGAGAGGAAGGGAGAGGGGGAGAGAAACATCAGTGAGAGTCACTGATGGGCTGCCTCCTGCTGGGGATCGAACCCACAACCCAGCCTGTGCCCTGACCAGGACTCGAACCTGGATCTCGGGGATCCCAGGTCGATGCTCGATCGCTGAGCCACGCAGGCCGGGCAAAGATTTTGTCTAAAGAAAGGTGGAGAAGAGAGACCAGCACAGGAGCGTGCAATCCCGGAGCTTCCTGCTCGTGTTGGGCGTCTCTGCGCCTCCAGCTTTCCACCCAGGCCTTGCCCTGCTCCCTTCCCACCCAGGCAGCGCCCCTTTGGGGTCTGGGCGAGGAAAGGTAGCACTGGCCACCCTGAGACCCAGGATGGGCCTGTGAGTCCTGCCTCACAGGCTTCCACCCGTCAACCGTCTCCTTGGCAGCTTCAGTGTTGACCCAGGGATTAGCTCCACGGTGGCTAAATAAATATTTTACGTCCCTACCTTCATATCGTAATCCCCTCCAAAGGGAAATCACTTGCGTGCAGATGGGAAGCAGTCATCCCGTGTGCCCCGTCCCCCAGGTCATGGTAAACATCATAAGTGGATGTACATTAAAAGATAAATTAACATGTGGGGTATGAATCCCCGAAGCAGTGATGTGCAAAAATTGGTCAGATTTTTTTTTTTCTAATCTTTGATACCCAACCCAGCACCCTCGTTTCCATGCAGCTGTCAGGAAATCCAGTCTAGATGGCTGGAGAGGTCCCCTTTCTTCCAGCCAGTGTACCAGCCAGGGAGCCGAGGCATTGCCAGTGTAGGAGTCTCGCCTGGACTTGGGACACTGGTAATGCTTCCCACTGAATTTCTATTCATTTATTTATTTTTAATATTATTTCAAAGAGAGGAAGGGAGAGGGAGAGGGAAAGACGGAAACATCAATGATGAGAGGGTCGCTGATCGGCTGCCTCCTGCACGCCCCCGACTGGGGATGGGGCCAGCAACTCAGGCACGTGCCCTGGCCGGGGATCCAACTGCCCACCTGGTTCACAGGTCTATGCCCAGCCCCTGAGCCACACTGTCAGGCCCACTGAATATTTCTTGCCAAAGTTCTTATGATCCTTCGAGGGCCACCCTCACGTTCAGGTTTTTGTTTGAGGCACAGTTATCTCTGGCAAAGCTGGGAGCATCTTGGGCACAAAGCTAGGAGCCACCACTGTAGGTAGGGTTCTTTTTAGACATCTCTTTTGGGATCTGGCCACCTCCTGGGACTCTGATGCAGAGTGTAGCAAAGACATGCCCCCCCCACTTTCTATGAACCTGTCTTGTCCCCCTCAACTTTTACCTCTTTCCTATCTTTGGGGGACATCTTCCCTCTTCCCCTCAGGGCCCTGAGAAACAACTTTTCACCTGTAAGCGGACGCCTGATTTCACGTCTTCCACGGACTGTTTTCTCAAAAGACAGCAAAGTGTGTTGACTTCAGACAGCTTCTATTCTCTGCCTGGCCAACAGAAAATGTGCCTGACGGTGAGGGTCACCCTTCAGTCTGTTTGTGTTTGTGCAGGCGACATCACTGTCCGCATGGAACCACGAGGATTTATGAAGATTCCGGCGTGTACCACCCCACCACCGAATACCTGGAGAAATACCCCACGTATGGCACTGTTCCTCCAGCTCCGAGCCTCAGACCCAAGCAGGAGCTCCGGGCGTGCCGTGGCAAAATGGAAGGGATGACGACATTTAAGTAAATATCGGGAAACTCTCCGCTTTACCTATTTTCCTCCCAGCTCCTCTGGTCTTTAATAAAGTTCTTTAACTCTTTTAAGTCGAACCCTTTCGTGGATTCAAGTCGAACGAATCCAAGCAGCAGAAGACTGGCTGAGTCGCAAACCTGAAAAAAAAAAAGATGAGAATTCAGTCTGAACGACAAGCAGTGAAAAGGGAAATGAGACGTTCTACTGATACGTCTTTACTGGCTGCAGTCTCTTGTCCTCGTGTTTTCTGTACTTCAGGCTGCCGGGATGATCTTTGCGAAAGGCAAATCCAATCCTTCCGCCTGCCTGCTTAAAATACTTCCACTTTCCCGTTGTATTTCTTTCTTTTTTTTAGACATATCAAGCTTTTTTTTTTTTTTTCAGGTTGCAATTTTTAAAATTGAATTTATAGGATTTAATACACAACAAACTCCTTACCAAAACCCCTTCGTGGCTTGGGCCCTACTTGCTTCTCTAATTACCTCCACTGCAGTGCCCTTTGTACTCTTACGCTTACGGCCCACAGGACGTTTTCCGTTCCTCGATGGTACCAGGCTTACCTTGCCACAGAGCCTCCCAAGGTACTAGTTTACCTGCCTGACAATTTCCCTCTTCCTCAACCTGAACGTCTCAGCTCCGCTGTCACCGTGGGAAGCCTCTGACACCTCACCCAGCCGTCAGGCCAGGTGAAAATCCCCATCAGCTCTCAGAGCATCTTTCTATAATTTATCATGAGTCTCGGTGTTCTGTAAAAACAGAAACTATGTCTATTTTTTTTTTTTTAATGTTTTTATTGATTTCAGAGAGAGGACGGGAGAGGGAGAGAGAGAGAAACATCAATGATGAGAGTCATGGATCGGCTGCCTCCTGCTCGCCCCCTGCTGGGGATCATGTGCCCTGACCGGGAATCGAACCGCGACCTCCTGGATCCTGGGTGGACGCTCAACCACTGCGCCCGCCAGCTGGGCAACTCTGTCCATTCTTATCTCAGCACTGTTTCCAGAAACCTGGTACAATGCCTACTAGCCCACAATAGGCACTCGATATCTATTCACTGGGTGATTAAAAAAAAAAAGTCCCCCTAAGCCTACAGTTTTCATTCGGACTTAAGCTTTTTTGATGTCTCTGTGTGCCTGTCAATACAATGGGTTGATTTTCTCTCTTCTGTCCATGGGCCGCGACATTGAAGGCACAGCCTTAGGCACTGAGTACAGAGGCATCGGTAAGAGGTTCCTGCCCTCAAGGACCTCGGACATCAGATTTCCATAAGGGGGGGTCTTAAAAAAAACGCTCTAGGACAGCTTCCATTTCCCGCTTTACCAATTTCCATTTCGTTTCCGTCTGCCCTGAGAGTACGACTCTGGACACGTCAACCGTTTTGGGGGCTGCGTCAGCTGAATAAAAGTGCACTTACCCTTCACTGCTTCTTTCCAGAAAGTTGCTTTGGGCTTGGAGGTGTGTTTTCTAACAGCCAGCTAACCTGGCTAGAGAGACCCGGACCCCTAAGCTTTCTCTGTGCCCCCCCTGCCTCCTCACGCCCGCTCGGCGTTCAGCCCGTTTCCCCTCTAGCTGGTGTCTGGGGGCAGCAAAGAACAACTCGCAGGTCTGAAGAGGCCGAGGTACGTGGTTTCTATTGCTATCTATCCACTAAATATTTACTAAGCACTTACTAAGTGTCAGGCAGCTGGGACCCAGGGAAGGGCAAAAACCACACGGGCACCCCCTCTCTGAGCTCGCAGGCGCTGCACCGAGCGGAGGCGGCGATCAAAACCGTCCCTCAGAATAAGCATAACAGTGGTTTACGTCGAGACGTCTGCGTTTGTTACCTGCCGACGGGCAGGCAGGCGGCAGGGCGTCATTAAGAAAGAGCGTCCCAGTGGACGACTACAGTCTTGAAGTTGGACGAACAAGGATTTTGACAAAGTGGCCCCAGGGGATATGTTTAAACTTCTTTTCAGATCCGTTACATTTTCCACCTGAGACTTCCTTCCAGATCAGGAAAAAATTCAATTACGGGATGAGTTTGTTTATGTAACATCCAGCGGACTCAGGATCCATCGTAACCATGTCCCGAAAACAAAGGTGTCTGGCATATTTATTTCTTGTTTTTGGGATGGGGCACCAAGGAATTTGATTCCTTCTCTGAAAGCAGTTCATCAACCATCACCGCTCTAGGATCGTTGAAAATTCCAATCCCGCCCAGGAAGAATTAGAAACGAGAGGGTCTGCGAGGCCATGCTTCAAATTTGTGTGTTTCAGGTCGGATTTCCGTCCTCATGAAATCGTCCCACAGCCTCGCCACGCCCCGGAAGAGTACGAGCCCAAACCGGGGGAGATGGACCTCGACACTACCTACAAACAGAACTTCGGCTCTTACCAAGTGCAGCCCGTGGCGATAGTCCGGCCTCGGGAGAGACGGCAGGTCAAGAAAGGAAAGCTGGACACCGTGCCGACCTACAAAGGTAAGGCCGCCCCCAAGGGGACGGAGCCCAAACGCGGGGACGCGTGTCCGGCTTTGACGTCCAGCATCCAGTCGCCATTCTGGTGTCGCCGAACTCAGTCCTCGCGGCTTAGGAAGAAAGTTTCTCTCTGTGGTCAAAATGATGTTGGACAGTGGGGGGGAAAAAATGACCTGATTGAGAGTTAAGGGACCCGGATCCCGGCCCACAGTCAGCCGCCTGCTTGGTTTTCTCTCTCGATACCCAGAAGCACACAAAGGCTGCCTTCCAACCAGCATCACGTCGTGTCGGGCACAATATGACACCTTTTTTGATGTTGTTAATCGTCACCCAAGGACATTTTTCCCACTGATTTTCAGAGAGAGTGGAAGGGAGGGAGGGGGGGACAGAGACACACACATTGATTAGGTTGCTTTCCACACATGGCCCCGCTTGGGGCTGGGGATCGAACCTGTTTTCCGGTCAATCCTAGATTTTATGATCACTTTAACAATTAACTGAATTACAGCAAAAAATCCCAACCAGGGAACACAACCTTATCTCCTAAAACCGTCTTCCCCCGCAACGCACGGGTTTGGCTTCAAAACCCGTCAACAGTCAGGCTCCGCGATTCCTTCTTCCCGTGGTGGAGTCGGATGAATCTCAAAGGGTGAAGTTACACGAATGAAAGGGGGGAGACGGGAAGAGCAAGGGGCAGGTGGGGAGGACAGGACAGGCCTGGTGGAAACCAGAGGAGCGTCCCCTTGATTAGTGTTGAGATTCCCGACGGACATGGACGGGTGCTCGGCAGTGAGAGAACCGGGTCACGATTTTGACAAGAGCGTGGTTTTCTTCAGTATTTAAAAAAGCTCTCTTTCTCTCTCCCCCCCCCCC